GGGCGACGCCGGGATTCCGCGTCCCGCGGCGCGGCGCACAGTTCCGGAGCGCGGGGAGGAAGTCGCGTGCCGTCGGGTCCGTCCCGGGGGGGGCGCGCTGGCCGCTGAGCGGTGGGGGAGGACTGGGCAGGGCCGCGGTGTTCCGGGGGTACCTGGTGGCCCCGCGCGCGAGCATTGATCCTGGGGGTCGGGCGTGCAGAATGCAGACCGGAAATGTCAAATGAGTTGGGGTTCAAAGTAACAGAACACTTTCTAAAGTAACAAGACGGCGTTAAAATTGAAAACAACCGCATCTGGGATGCTCACTGCGCGCGCACTTTCCGCTGGCGCGGTGGCCCGGCCCGGTGACCGGCGCCCGGCCCCGGGACGCCCCCCGCGGGGCAGGCGCGGGTGACGACAGGCGGAGCTTCCTCTGGGCGGTCGCAGGGCCGGACGGGACCGGGCTGGGGAGGCCTCCGGCTGTGATGGGGCGTCGGGGTGCCCCGGAGAATGCAGAGCAGCCACGGATAGCAAGAAAATATTCCTTCCTGAAGCACAGCCGGGCCCTGGAAGCGCAGAGGTGAATGGGGTCAAGACACCCCGAGGAGCAGGGTGGGCGGCGGCAGTGGAGGCTCAGACACGGAGGTCAGCTCCCGGGAAGAGCGCGAGGAGCCCCGCGGCACAGCCCCGGCTGTGCCCGAGCTCCAGGAGCATGAGCTGGGCCTGAGATCGAGTCTGGAGGGCGAGCGGGGTAGCCGTTAGCACGCCCAGCCTGTGGCCTAGGGCCTGGAGAGCGAACTCACCATTGCCACTAGCTCGTTAGAATCGCAGGGACCCTCAGGTGCTCAGTGATACCGTCGGGATCATCAGGTACTGCTTTACAGAACTATCCGGATAGGGTATATTTAAACACTTGGAGTTCACAGCACTGTGGTTTGGATGCGACCTCCAAAGTCGCTGGGCTGAAACTTAATCCCGACGCCGCAGTGTTGGAAAGGGACCCTTCAGGGGGGATGCAAGCAGCGGCACCCTCTCTCCCCCGTCCACCTCGCAGCAGGGACAACACGGCGTGGCGGGCGTCCAGATGCTGGTGTCCTGCTCTTGATGTTCCAGCCTCCAGAACCATCAGCCAAATAAACTTCCACTCTTTATAAAGGATCCAGTCTGGAGTATTCTGTTACAGCAGCATAAAACAGACTCAGACACTAAGCATGCAAAGAACGTCAGCTGTTATCACTAGGCGTCCAGAACCTCCTGATGCAGTCAGCACAGGCTCCGCCATGCCTCAAACAGTGTTACCCTCTTACCTGCCAAACGCCAGATGTGAGACAAGCATTGCAAGAGAGGAGTCTGACAGCAGCAGGTAGGGGAGGGAAGGGCGCTATGCCCTGAGTTAGCTTTATTCGCACCCCGCGGCCCCTTCCCATGCCTCCCATTGCACAAGCCCAGCAGCAGCCCTGGGCACGAGGGAGCCCGTTGGAGCAGTCTCCCAGCGGAGAGGGCCAGGGGCTAGGGAGCACAGACAGCTCAGATGCTAACAGCGTCCTGCAGCCACCCATTCCGGACGCTCACCTCTCTGGTGGGGGTATGAGTTGAATTCTGTCTCCCAAAGTATGTATGTCAAATTTGAGCACCCCAACATGTGATCTTGTCTGCAAAGAACCAGAGGATACTTGGGTGGCTCTTCATCCAGTTTGACTGATAACCTTGTAGAAACGGGACATTTGGACAGACGGTCGTACAGGGAGAAAACACATGAAGACTTGACCATGCTGTCACAAGCCAAGGAACAGCCAGATGCCAGGAGAGAGGCCGGGGCAGGGCTCCCTGGCACCCTCAGAAGGGAGCCCCCCTCCTGACACCTGGCTCTGGGCCTCGCAGATACCAGAACCGTGAGGCAGCAAACGTCTGTGTAGTCCGTAGTTCACCAATGCACATTTTAGCAAATGAATGCAATTGCTTCCCCCATCCTGAGGCAGGAGATTGAAGTATAGCAAGTGGGCATGACCTGTCAATCACAGAGATCCAGAACAGGAGCCCTGCGCCTGGACCAATCAGAAAGTGCAATCTTGAGTTCTTCTGGTGTGAAATCAAGCAGGTTTTTGATAGGACAGCCTAGCTCTGACGTCAGAATGACACAAAAGACAGTGGCCCTTCCCCTCCCGGCCACTGTGCTCCCTTCCGTGGGCACGCTCACCTTGCAAAGTGCACTTATTTTCCTACATTCATTGGCCTGTACTCTGTATGTAAGGCATGCTTTTTTCCTAACTTTAATAAATGTCAAACCTCACTTCCTTTTGCTTCTTTGTTCAGGACAAGGACAACCTGGAAAGAATCCCTAGAAGAGCCAAGCGTGGTGCCGCACACCTGTAATCCCAGCACTTGGAAGGCTGAGACAGGAGGAACACTTCGAGTTCGAGTCCAGCCTGGGCTACAAAGTGAGCTCAAGGCCAGCCTGAACTGCATAGGGAGATCTTGTCTCAAAAAGACAAAAAAAAAAAAAAAAGAATCCCTAGAAGAAGGAGTCTGCAGCACCCCCAGAAACCGGGTAACATCTTGCCCACCATCCTCTCCCAAACATTCTGAGATCGATTCTGCTTCCTGCCAGGACCCTGGCTGGCCCCAGGAATGACTCCAGGAAACAAAGTCCCACGGCAGAGTCCTGCCCGGGTTCCTACCTGTCTGTGGGCACGGAGGGAGCAAAAGGGTGTGAGGAGCCCCCCGCGGCAGGATTGCTCAGATTCGCACAGCGATGACGCCAGGGACGGAGGGAGCACACAGCTCTGGGGGTCTTACTGCTGCTAAATGCGATTGCTATGGCAACAGCGATAATTACAAAGACTGTACAGCCACACCGCTCCTGTCTGCCCTGGGGAGTTCACAAAAAACAGATAAGCATGAGGTATTAAATTCCTGACTCAAGGCAGAGATATGTGAAATTCAAAGAATCCCTTGTCTCTGCTGCGTCGCAGGCCAGACAAGGTTCCGCTTCGGGTCCCGGATACAAAGGTGCAGGCTGCGGTCCTGCTCAGTCTCAGCCCGCTACCTCAGCATCTTGCGGGACGGAGGCACCGGGGGAAGGAGCAGGATCGATACTGTGGTGCGAACTGTCGGATGGACACAGACAAGGCTGATTCCCAAATCCCGACTCTCCCTTGCCGGGGTGGGGGTGGGAGTAGAGGATAAACGAAGGACGCCGGAAATCCTCCTTTGTGCCTTGGGAAGAAGCCGGGGCCCTGCGGCTGGCTGCAGCGACAGTGATCTGTAAACGCGCACGCTCGCACCTGGGGTCCCGATGTAGTCCGTGTGTGGAGGGAGGGAGATGTTTTGGAAAATGCCCTGAACTATGAATATATTGTGAATATACTGACAACCATGTAACACCTCAAAAGGAGGCCACCAAAATCACAGTAACACCAATCGTTCTGTCCAAAACAACGCGATGACACTTTGATTTGTATGGATAACCCTGATATGTTTAGAACATTAATAATCTTAAATGGTTTCAACTTTTTTTTTTTCAGACAGAGTCTCACCATGCAGTATAGACCGGCCTTGAACTCGCCATGTCACCCAGGCTGGCCTTGAACTCACTGCGATCCTTGGTCACGGGGAGCCAAGGAGTAGGCTGATAAGTGTTAAGGGATTAATTAAGAAATATTCATTGAACTGGAAAGAAAGGGTTCAAAAGAAAGGAAAAACTGTGACGGGAGAAAGGGGAGAGGAAGGAAAGGAAAAGAAAAAAATATATATATATACACACACACACAATAGTTAAGGTAGTTATACAACTAGCTTGTCTTGGTTCATTGAAAAGAAAGTTTTGTGCTGATACTTTTTTGGGACAATATTTCATGCCTGTATCTTGTACTCTGAACAACTACTATGTATTAATTATTGTTACTCTCCTGCTAGCCTGTTTCGAAACTCTGTTTTATTGTTACTTTTACTTTTTTCTGTTTAAATTTTTTAAAAAAAACAGATATTCATTGAGTGTGTTCAACAAGCTGGCAGGATGAAATTTCCTAGAACTGAAAAAAACCCTCGCCCCTGGTTCCTGGTGTCCTGTCTGCCTGAGGACATGCCC